GGGGTTTGGAAAAAGGGTGCCAGGCCGAAAACGGGATGCAGCCGAAACAGCAAAAAGATAGACCAGGGATCGAGCCCTGGCGGAGTCCGTAACAATAAGGACCTGTTTAAAAAAAAAAAAAAAAAAAAAAAAAATCCACCTTGACTGTGTGAGTACACCAAGATGATGAGTTGCCAAACGACTCCATCGAAATGAGCTCTTAGAGGGATTTCTCGTATAGAATGTCCACTCTGTCTTTGAATGTAACTGTTTAACTTACAAGGTAAATACAAATAACTACGTCATATTTTTTACTAATTTTTTAGTAAATTTTTACAGTTCTATTTTTTTTTATTGAACTAAGAGATGACCATGCTTTGTTGCCTTCTTTCCTTCTTGTTTATTGACAAGGTGAATAATATTTAGATTGCATTTTTGTTATTGGAGACACACTGATAGATTTTCTTCGTCTTCTTTTGTCCATACCTTTTGGGAACTAAAACATCCGGCCTGCAAAATGCAGTGAGAATGAGGCAGATGTGCTGGAGGGTCTCATGGAAAAGTACGTGGCGAAGTGCATTGATTTTGTCTTGGAAGGGGTTGAAGATGATTCGATCACAAAGAAACTCACTCAGACGATCCCCATCACAAACCTGAACATGGTTTCCCAATTATGTACACTTCTCGACGCGCTTCTGACAGATGAGAATGGTGTGACCGACCCTCAGGTAAGAGTGCAACCTATGATCTGTGCACCTGAGTTTCAACTTCTTTGAAATCCAGCTTTTATAACTTATCTCTGAATCTTTGTGCTATTTAGTTCAGGCTGCACCTGCCATGTTTGTTCTTTCCATATTAACACCTTCGATGCTGCAACAGAGTGTTTGCTGTCCATCTCTTCTTTGCCTGTACAAGACTACCTAAGCTCTGTTTTTTTTTTCCCCTTCCAAATATGTTTTTTGTTAATCTTTATGTCATTTAGTTCATGCTGCCCCCATCGTGTTTCTTTTTCCCGCATCGATTAAATAGAATCTATAGCATGTGGCAGTGTTGGGTGCCAATCTCAAGGATAATTATACACCGGGGATTTAGTGGTTTTCCCCTTTTGCCATGGTGAACCTCAATTACATAAAAGCATTTTCCATGTGCGCAGAAGCCCGCAAAAATGTGGCAAGAGGACTCTCTCTCTCTCTCTCTCTCTCTCTCTCTCTCTCTCTCTCTCTCTCTCTCTCTCTGTGTGTGTGTGTGTGTGTGTGTGTGTGTGTGTGTTACTTTCCCTTTTTCCTTTGCCTTTTTTCTCCATCACTCCTCTATGTCTATCCCATCCCCCTTTACTCTGCCTCTTTCTCACAGCGTACAAGTGGGGTCATTATGACACACGGGGATGCGGGCAGCTTGTGCTCAACTTCATCAATGTGGCGAGCCTTGTATGTGAGAGGCACAGTAAGGGGGAGTTAAAAGAAGAATGATGAAAATGAATGTATATATTTCATGTGAAGAAAAGGTAGCATATCGTGTGAGGCTTTACTCTCATGGAGGGCATAATGTGTAGACAAAGGAACTGGACTGCTCAGTGATCTCTCCAGCATCGTCCTTCGGCATGCTCGCACGCATGCACACAGCAATGCCCTGAACATAGTAATTCGAGGACCTCGTTGTGCTCTAGTGCAAAGAGCATCACAGTCTCGCCAACCCTCATGTCCTTCATTTTGAAAGCTTGCCCAATTGACCCCCCTCTCATCTCTTTCCGTGCTTGGCCGCAGATGGCTGCGTTCCTCCTTGCCACCCCCATCTCCTCCACAGTCTCGCTTGCAAACAAACTCTCCGGTTCCCATTGTTTCCATTGTTTCCATTGTTTCCATTGTTTCCATTGTTCCACCTTCATTGAAAGAAACATTTTCATCTTCAGTGTGCAACACCGCAACTCTTATTGTGTATCATTGATGGTATGTGCCGCATTGTCGCTTGTCCGAGGATCAGCAGCTTTGTTTTTTTTTCGTTTCTTTTTTAAACAACATTTACTCACTCTACGCTCCTCCCTGTTATGGCTGGTAGGCCCAAGTGGACGACATTGATTACTTGAATTTATTTCCCTTGGGAAGGATATAACACTCCTCACCCCTGCCTAAGCTGTCCTCAATGACTTAAAGTTGGTTGACTCCGGGGTCCTTGGTTCTACTGGTCTTATGTCTGTGGCAATAATTGGGGTTCTGTCTTGTACATGCTCCTCTCAGCTGCTAGGTTGTCAGGTATGCTTGGACCACTAGATCAGTACAATGCTTCTATCTTCTAACCCTGTTCACTTGCTTATCGATACATTGTTTCCGACATGTCTGCTTACTGTTTCCTGAGTACCTTGTTCTAATTATCTCCCATACCTTCTTCAACAGGCAGTTGTGTGGGTTTCTTGTCTGTTGCCCATAGACATGCTTGTGAGGTGGGTTCTACTTCTGGGGATCTCTGATATCCGGGGGTGGGATAGTCTAGTGTGCCTCCATCGACCGAATTGGAGTTTGCCACTGACTATTGTTAATATTTTTATTTTATTTTTTTGTGTGTGGTCTGATGGATCACGGATCAGATATTTTCCCTTCTCCTAGTAGGTGTTTTTTGAACTCAGTTGTGATCTTTTCTTCGTTTTCTCTATTTTTTCCGTTAGTTTCCTGTACGTCTTTTTCCAGCGTCCTCTGTATTCTACCTCTATTAATTGCAGAACTCCTTCCCATGCCTCTTTTGCAGCCATTGGGTAGGGTCTAATGTTTCTTGGCATCTGTATTTCCCTACCACCCATAATGTAGCTAGTCTCAGTATGTGGAAGAATGTGGTCTCGGAGCCGTTTCAGGTGGGCGTTATGTGAAGTCCTAGTAGAAGGGGACCTGGTCTGTTGGGAGGGGTTTGCCTGTTATTGAGTGCCATAGCTCGGCCGCATTAGTCCAGATTTGCTTTGCCTTTTGATAGCACAGGCCTTCCTGACAAATAGCGCAAGAGTTCTTGCATAGTTGATTGCGTCTATATGCTGCGTTTTTTGTTCAACCATTGGTTAACTAGCAGGGCTACGTATGTGAGTAGCCACTAGATGCTTCTCATCTTAACAGAGGTATGGCGAGAGTTCTGTTGTGAGACGTGATGCTGGTGCGGTTCGGTGGTTGGTTGAGCTGTGTTTCCCATCTTTGGCTGATAAGCTGAGCTATAGGGTACGGTCTCGTTCTTAGTGTATAACTAGTCGGTGGTGTATTCTAGAATGTTGGTTCGTCTTTCTATTTTGAGTCTTCATATTCTCAGCTTCCATGCCCATTTAACTGGGTCAATTTCCAGATCAGTTATGTTAGTTAATGGATCGTATATTCGGTGTTCACTGGTCTTCCATTTCAACTACGCTTACTTTCTCATTGCGTTTTCTAGTACGGCTACTTCTCCAGTTGGACTCCTGCTTAAGAGACTTGTAGTTGCCTCTGGGTCCTCGATTGAGAACATATCCCAGATAAGCCATCGATTTCTGGGTACCTCTCTTGTGCGAAACTGGTAGGTCATGGTGAGGGGGTTGTCTGACGTTCTTGTTGCCCAGTTGCCTGGTTTCCATTTAAAGGGGCCTTTGAGTAGCTCCAGCCAGTTATCTGGGACTGAGAGTAAGATATTATTCAGGTTCTCCTGTAGGTTGTGACAGCACTTCCTGGTCTGTCTCAGTTCTCCTACCGTCTTACATCTCCTTTTTGTCTCTTGCCTCCTCTCTCCACCCATGGGCCCCATTTTGTGTCTTTTGCCGTAAGCGTCCAGGGTTTTCCTTGTGTTTCTCGAAGCCATTGGTTACGAAAGAGATGTTTTCTGAGAACTTCCTCTTTGGTTGTAGGTTCCCTCACCTTGGCTGGGAGGATTTCTCTCCATGTTTTCAGGAGCTGTCGCCAAAGTCATCCCGTTGTTCCCTTTCCTGCTCCTCCCGATCCGTTTCTCTGGGCGATCCTTTCATTGCCCAGTATATGGCCATGATCCAGAACAGCCCTCACATGTTGTCTGGGGTTTTACACTTGGCTAGCTGCCTAGCTCGAAGGGAGGTTGTTATTTGTTATCATTTTAAGGATCCTTTTGGTTTGCAAATGCTTTGATCCATGTTTTCAGGAGCACTGGGCATTACAGCGCTGCTAGGAGGAAGGAGACTGGGAGCTCCCACCTTGGCTATGGTGGAGCTCTACCGGTAGGAGGAGGAAGAAGGGGGCCAGGGAGGAGAGTAGCGAGGTACCTACCTGGCTATGGTGGGCACCATCTTCATCACCTTGTTAGGCGCTGCATCTGGAAGGCCCGAATTGGGGTTGCGCCGCACGAAGAAGGCTTCAAGGCAGAGTCAGGCATGGAGGCCTGAACAGCAGTGTAGCTGCTTTGAGTTGTCTTTTGCACAGCAGAGCGAGGCCCTAGTAGTCCGCCATAGCCTTGGCCTACATGAAAAGGGAGGAGAAGGGTGGCCATGGCTATGGTGGACCTCATGTTGTGCCTGCAGTAGAAGAGGGATTCGCACATTGATTCTGGCTCGGCCGTTCATCATCATCATTATTATTATTATTATTATTATTATTATTATTATTATTATTATTATTATTTTCTTTTAAACAGGTCCTTATGGTCCTGGCTCCTTTTCCATTCTGGGGAGCGTTAGTCCGGTTCCTATTCCCTTGGCAAGTCGAATTGAAATACATAAGTACACGCTCACGCTTCCTTCCATTTGGCCGAAGGATCCCTGACCAGCATTGATTACTCCTATGTAGGAGGATTGACTGTCAGCTTGCCCTACCCACTTGATCCTCTCAGGCTCCAAATCAGGGCCTGTCAAATAGACATCTGCAAAACAAGAACAGTGAGAGGTACGGCTTCCATTTGAACTCGTATGTCTTTCCCAACCCCTGCTCATCAGGCTGCTCATTTTCATGCTCGTCTTGCTGTTCCTCCTTCTTGGACTTCGTGGTGTTCCATTGCTTAACAGCTAAGCTTGATGCCACTTCTTCAATACCAGCCTGTTGTCCATTATGGTAGCGACCGCACATCAGAAATGAAAGTGAACTAAAACAGAAGGCTGGTGGCTAGCAGAAGGCAACCCCCCCCAACCCCGGACCTGTCCACCCCAATGTCATGGTCCACCGGCGACCAAGCACTCCGGTATCTGGGCATCATGGTCAACAAAGGCGGCATTTGGCGAGGGATGGGGGAGACCCTAATCGCTAGGGCAGTAACCCGCCTAGTCCCATGCAAGAAAGTTCAGGCAACTCTATTGGGCAGAGCGCTAATCATCAACACGGCAGTATTCTCCACCCTATGGTACATGGCTTCCATTTGGTCCCCGCCCGATGACAATCTGAAGTGCCTGAAGGCTAGGGCCAGATGCTTCCTATGGACTGGCAACCCCAACAGAACCACCTGCATAAACAAAGTGGCCTGGCAAATCGTCACCAGGAAACCACACGAAGGGGGCCTGGGCATCATCGACCCAAAACAGGAAGCGATTGCCCTCCGGATGAAGTGGATAGTCAAGATCCTAACCAAACAATTCCTTCCTTGGACCAAACTGGCCTTAGACAGCATAAGGAACGTGGCACCAATAACCTCTCCACATAACATGAGAGGCTTGTTCTGGATCATGGCCAAAGATTGGTCAGTTAAAACAGGGAGAGAACTGAGGAAAACCCAGCAAGCACCGACCATTCAACCCACTCCCTCGACCAACACGTACTGGACACCACTTCTG